GGGAGCACTGTAGACAAACAGACCTTTCCGTTTTGCACAAATATTGATCAGGTCATGGAAGGGAACACTCGATTCCTTCACAGATTCCAAATCTTAGACAACTCGACAGGGACTTTTGTTGTATCCCATCTGAATAACATTTCTTGACATATACAAAAGACATCGAAATACTGCAAAGTCGGCAAGAAAATAATACAGTATGTATTTAGAAGGAGTCACCTTAAATAAGAGTTGATATGTGTGCGTTGTCAGCTTAATATAAGATATATTTCAGAGTTTGGAATGACAAGATTCAAGAGTTTGAATCGACAAACGAAAATGGATTTAAGGATTTAACTAAAATTAAACAAAACATTAATCTAACTTGCTGCATAACGTAAGCTCAAAGGTTCGCCCATTCCCGTCCACAAGTGCCTAGTGGTAGAAAACCCCACGGAAGTCCACTCGAGAAAAATCTGATTTCATGTGAACACTGTAGTTTTCCAAAACTCATCCATCACGTTAGAGTCCACGATCAAAGAGAAGCTTTGTGATATTTTCTTTCCAAGTGACCGGATCCCTCTGTTATCTGGCGTGTATTTAACTAGAATACATTTTCCACGCCTGTTACAAGCGACGCGAACGGCGTATTGGGCTAGAGAAAACACGGAGTAGCTATAATCTATAATACTACAAAAAAGTTTACTTCACAAATCTCAATTTGAGACTCGCGATAACAGGAGTATCTCGGAGATATCGTTATTTCAACAGGCCACAGCTGGGTTCTTTTTGAATAAATTTGCATAATGATCTAAGACATAGGAGACAGTGGAAAACCGACAATGTTTGAAAGGGCAACCTCTTTACAAAGAGTCACATGGCGAATATCCAAGCATCTTGGTGGGTAGCCGTGACTTAGTGTAGAGTGTATCTGGCTCGTCACACCCTCGGCCTCTTTTCTCAGCCCACGTCCGCTTTCTTTAAAAAAAATGTAATAAAACACTAAGTGAAAGAACACTAATATTTCTTTTTAAACTGACAACTACTGGGTTCATACTTATTTCGGATTTTACTCTTTTGATATAGATGACTTCGGTCCCTTACCTTAATTGTAAAATTATAAATCAGTTAAACGTTTATTTGGAAACAAACAAATCACGTACATACACGAGGGTCTTTTGGTGTTGGAGAGAATTGTTTTCTTTCTCTTTGTGTTTGTTTTCTTCCATGGTATCTATCTATCTATCTATCTATCTATCTCTCTCTCTCTATCTCTCTATCTATCTATCTCTCTATCTATCTATCTCTCTATCTATCTATCTATCTATCTATCTATCTATCTCTCTATCTATCTATCTATCTATCTATCTATCTATCTATCTATCTATCTATCTATCTATCTATCTATCTATCTATCTATCTATTTATCTATCTACCTGTCTGTCTGTCTATCTATGAACATAGATGCACAAAATGACACAGTCACACACATGCACACATATACGCACACACACAGACACACACACACACACACACACACACACACACACAAACACGCATACACACATACGTACATACACATACACACACGCACTAGTACACACACAGAAGATGAACTTTGAATCCATTCGGACGCAAGATCAACTTACTATCACTTATATCGTCAAAAATATTAAAATCGTATTTTCTAAACGTTCAGTCTTTGAGATAGTCTGATCTTTTGAAGAAAACTTTGATCTAAACTGTACTGAGATATTCATAGCACGCATCTCCGTACTCCACTGTTCAGTCGCGCCAGTTACACAAAATACAGAAAGTACAAGCATTGTACTGGAGTGGTGCTTAACAATCATTATTATGTAACAGCACTTAAGAACGTTGGTGTTCTGTGAATGTGCTCCGGTGAAGAATCTACGATTGACCCACTCGGATTTAATCCCTTGACCTTTGAGGGAACAGAGAGTTTAACGCTGCGACGAGAAAGATAAAAGGCATGTAAGCTCTTAGCCAGAGAGACCCACTTGGACTCGAGTTTCGCTCACCTTCTCCGTGAACTCTGTGGAGGCGACTTCGCCTTTGCCATGCAAGTTTGGGACGATACTGTCACAAGAACAAGGGAACTGGAGGATGATATCAACAAGCCACCTCCACCCAAGGGATCCGATTTTCAAAGTATTGGTGGTAACAGCAGAAGATACAATATCCAAACAATGCTAGAAATGAAATCTACTATTATTTCAACTGCCAACATTTAATGACAAAACGTGGAAGAACTAGAGTAAGCAGGAGCGTCTAGTTGTAAATTTAACGTGTTGTTACCGATATAGACTAGATACCTTTGGAGTGATCCAATCCGGACTGAATGGGATAGAGATTGGTGGCAGAAAGACGCAAATTTCCCCTCAAGGGAATCGATCTCACATCTTTTTCTTGTAACAGAAAAAAGCGTTATCATTACTCCACAAAACAGGAGTGAATGGTACAATGGTATGATTTTTTTTTTAAAAAGATGATTGGATTTCTTTTACTCCTTCGTGAGGCAGTGCTGTTCAATCAGGCGCTCGTCAAAATAATATAATCAAGGTAACCAGCATTTTTCTGCCCTTTGGGCAATTTCTTCGATTTTTTTAGCTCAATGCCTTATATGTTCATTTAAGAACATTTTTCTGTGTGGATTTTGTTGAAAAACCTTGATCAAAGGCACAAACAAATAAATTCGCAGTTTCAAAGGATTCTTAAGTCTTGGAAGTAACCAAATTTTGGCGGCCGTTTTCTCGCTAAATTTACCTCTGGCACCAGGCCAACCCCACCTCCTTTAACGGCAAATATCTTTTCTATTCAAGATAGATGCATATTTTTCCAGCAAAGTACAAGACAAATGAACAAGCTGTTAGATTATGCTAATAATTCCATATGCCGAAAAAAAATTGACGACCACCTGATTTCACCGCGTCGTGACACCTTTAACTCCACGATGACTTGGTCACGTAGACGATCCAGTGATCATCAGTTCTGAAGACTCCCCACTTTGTCATTTATCCCTCACTGTAATTGCTTTGTCCCCCAACACCATCCTGTGACATTATGACAGCGACAATGCTGTACAGTTGCTTAGAATTCATTATGCCTTCGTTTCACGGCGGTATTGCAGAGTCATTGATTCCAGCATTTGTTGTATATGTTGAAACTCAGTTTAATCATACAGACCTACCATACTTTAAGAAAATGTCGGGTTGACTGTAACTGGGCCATAAATAGTTGAATCCCATATTGGCAGAAAACGACGTCATTAAAATATGCCAATAACGTATTCCAGTCTTAATGACATTTTGTTCTATTGTCATTTATCAAGTCGGTACAAGAGAGTGGTCAGTGACGACCGATAAAGATCGCATCGTGTTAGCAGCAGAAAGGAACAAAAGTAACTCAGAAAAAAATAGAAAACTCGCCCCACATCATAGACCCACCACCAACAAACTACTTTGTGCATTTGGATTTTTCTTTTAATTATTCAAGAGCACTGACATCATTTCTCAAACTGCTAGGAGAGTCTAGTACACGGTTTTAAAGGTCAGTCACAAATTCCGCGTCGGGGTGATTAATGAGATTTTGAATTCAGTGACGCAGTTTTAATAATGGGGCGTTTTCGTCTTGAGATATCATAATGGCTGTAGCCATTCAGAAAAAGAAACCTTTTTATTGTAATAAGTTGGTCTCGCTTTTATTTTTGAACTCAGAATGTCGCTGCATAGAAAAACAGAAAGAGTAGAGGTAGGTACAAGAAAGATGACGGAGCTTGATTATCCACACAAAAATTGATAATAATAGTAACAAAAAGAAACCCATTAAAACCCCACAACGGTTATAAACACATCACCGATGATAGTTACAAGACCAAAGTAGCAGCAAAACTATATTGTATTAGCTATGGTTTTGGGGTTGTTTTTTGTTGGGGGAGGGAAGGTAGGCAAAAACTCCAAGTGTAATAACGACGATGGCGACAACGAAGACAACAAGGGCATAAACAGTTATATAAATAACAGCACAACAGACCCACATCGTCGTTTTGAATCAACCCCACAACCCCTTCCTCTCCGCAGCACCATGACATGCACATTTTTCAAAATGAAAAATTCGGAATCTTTTAAGCTCTTCAAGTAGTTGGACGATGCTTCTTGGATTTTTCTGAAATAAAGCACTCTATCTCTTGCCATTCTGCCTGCCCGCATTTTTGGGTTCCAGTCCAACATTTTATGTCCATTTGCCATCGTCTATAAGGTACCACCCGTCCTTTCTTGCCATCTACATTAATTGCTTCCTGAATATATTTATTATTTCTGGGGTGAATCAGGGTGTTGAATATGCCTAAGGTAATTCAAGTTAAGTTTCAATATTATGTTCTGGAAGAGTTGTTTCTATACATATTCTTCTTACAGCTTCTTCATGTTTTTATCATCTGTCGCTACGATATTTTAAGAATTCTTTTACACTATTTCCCTCCGAAAACGTGTTATTGTTATGATGACCACGAGGATCCCGGTAAAGAGTTACACAGAACAATGTGCAGAAAAGTGAGAAGACAAGGAATAATCTAAGAGGCTAGCCCGGGATAACAGTGAAAACTGTTCTTTGCCTATACCCTGATCCAGGGTGAGAAAGGCTTTGATGATGATGATGATGATGATGATGATGATGATGATGATGATGATGATGATGATGATGATGATGATGATGATGATGATGATGAAAGGTTGAACATATTTTATAATGACATAAAACTTCAAATACTCGTCTCCACGAATGACGGTTTGTTTTCTTAGCATGCTTACAACAAAAATATGAAACGTGTTTGTTCGTGGCCTATACCCTCATCTAGGGTGAGAAAAACACTGATGATGATGATGATGATGATGATGATGATGATGATGATGATGATGATGATGATGATGATGATGATGATGATGATGATGATGATGATGATGATGATATCGTTATCATTATGATAATATCATGATACTAACCACAGCTGTCGCTGGCCGCTCCTTGCGTGTCCGGTTCGTCCCGTAGCTCACTCTGGGACAGAGGGGCGGTCACGGTCCCAGGCCCCCACAGAGGTCCCTGCGTCATCACGGGGATGCCGGTCTCCGACACGCATGCGCGGATCCCCAGAGCAATGGCGTCCTCTGCTGCCTGCTGTCTTTTTAGGGCGACCTGGGAGTGCAAGAACAACTGATTGTTGTTATAGCCGTTAATGAATTTCGAGAGTTTATTTATTATTCTAATTTTTTTTTAAATTCGTTTCGGTTTTTTCTTTTGGTTTTGTTTTTTTGGTTGTTTTGTTTGGGGTTGTTTTGTAATTTTGGGGTTTTTTTTGTCTTATTTTTGGTTGTTATTTTTTGGGGTGCGGTTATTTATTTCCTTTTTAATACGGGGGTTTAAAATATATCACTGACCAAGTCAAGAGAGCTTATTTTCACACACAAGGAAACAAACAAACACGCGATCATACGAACTCACAAAAATGGGTACATCCTTGTGTGTACATATAAATCATTTGCGTCTCTGTTTGTTTGTTTTCTTTGTTTGTTTGTTTGTTTGTTTGTTTGTTATGGTTTTTGTTTCTGTGCATTTGTGTGCTGTTTGCGTCCTCAGTATCATTAAACGTTCTAAATGATTCAGTTCTGTTGGGCATTAACTATACTAACCCATAATATGATCCACAATCTCTACAGAAACAATTTGACACTACAACAAATGAAGGACAATAGCAGCAAAAGACAAAAAACATCCAACCCACCATTCCCCTCTCCCACTGCCGTTTTTTAAGCTGAACCAGAACCATTTTAAGCCTAGCTACAAGGATGCACTGAACGTGTCAATAGATCACACAAAAAGAGCCCAGCTAGGATTGATGACAATAGCGGCAACAACCTCAATAAGAACACTATCTGTCATAACAGTAACAGCGCAACGCAATTCTTAATAACGACAATAGATACAACAACAACAACGACGATTACAGAAACACAAACTATATCAACAACAGCTACAACGATTAAAGAAACACAAACAACAACGACAGAAACAACAACAACAACAACAACAACAACAACTGCAACAAATAAAAAACCAGCACCAGCAACACTACCACCATAACAACAACAACAACAACAACAACAACTTCAGTAACAAAAACAGCAAAAATAAAAACAAAAACAAAAACAAAAACAAAAACAAAACAAAAACAACTGAAACAACAAGAACAGCAATTATAAAACAAAAACTTCCATTCTCATCTTCCAAACCAGTTTTCATCTCACCTGAGCCGCCATCACCCTCTGCCTCTCTGCGATCAGGTTACACTTGGGGCATGTGCAGTCTTTGTACTGGCAGTGGCGCTTATGGCCCTTGAGCCACGAGACCATCCCATGGTTGCGACAGCGAGCACACTTTGGCTTGCGCGCACCCTTCTCCGTGAGCGGGTACAAGGCCGGAACACCATTCATGGTGCTAGGCGGGTACAGAGACAGCTTGATTGGCTGTTAGATGGCAATTATTTCACTGATTTTGAGATACCTGTTCGTCGGAAGAATGTCTTGTAGATGGCAGATGGCAAGAACAATACTTGCACGTTTCGGTTCACTAGCGTTAAAACGACGTTGTCACTCAGAATGAGAGCAAGTCGAACGTTACCGGAAGAATACAAATTAAAACAGAATGTCAAAGATTATTTGAAGGGTAAGATGAGGGGAACAAAGGGGGGGGGGGTGTATCACTGAAGTTCACAGTTTACTTACAGTGGAAACTCTTAGGATGCACCAAAATATGGGTAAAAGTTTGTGTGAGAAACGTGTTTCCAGGTAGTTGCAATTAGCTAAATATTTCCTCTGTAAGCTGTGTCAGAATTGGGCAATTTGGTACCCAGTATTAGCAGATTGCTTGAGCAGTCTTGACTGGAAACGGCGCTTTGGTGTAAGAATGTTTCTAAACTCTTTCTCCCTGCCGACGTTTTCAGACTGCAGTTTAAAAAATACGTTTTTGAGTTGTTTTTGCTTTTTGTTTTAATATGGTATCGGCACAAAAGCAGCAAGAAGTGTCTCCTAGAAAATAGTTTCACAACTTAGGAACACTCATGTGTAATAAAGGCCTGTCTGAAAATTTAGACTTTTGGTGTGGTAGCCTACAGGGCTGTAGGGTAAAGTACTTGAATTCACCAGTCTTTTAATTCACATTTCGATGACAATGGAATAGAGATTTCAAATCAGCATCGGACGTCTTGATCTTATTTCAGCCGTTGATACATCTAAAGCCACGCTCAAGTTCACCAAAGACAGCTGGAAAGGAAGAAAAAGCTGATTTTAGGTCCAAAGCAAGCAACAACAGCAATAATTTAAAAACTAGAAAAACAACAATAAAAATAACAACAACAACGGTAATAATAATAATTATAATAATAATAATAATAATAAATCATTATGATGATGATGATGATACTAACCACAGCTGTCGCTGGCCGCTCCTTGCGTGTCCGGTTCGTCCCGTAGCTCACTCTGGGACAGAGGGGCGGTCACGGTCCCAGGCCCCCACAGAGGTCCCTGCGTCATCACGGGGATGCCGGTCTCCGACACGCATGCGCGGATCCCCAGAGCAATGGCGTCCTCTGCTGCCTGCTGTCTTTTTAGGGCGACCTGGGAGTGCAAGAACAACTGATTGTTGTTATAGCCGTTAATGAATTTCGAGAGTTTATTTATTATTCTAATTTTTTTAAAAATTCGTTTCGGTTTTTTCTTTTGGTTTTGTTTTTTTGGTTGTTTTGTTTGGGGTTGTTTTGTAATTTTGGGTTTTTTTGGGTCTTATTTTTGGTTGTTATTTTTTGGGGTGCGGTTATTTATTTCCTTTTTAATACGGGGGTTTAAAATATATCACTGACCAAGTCAAGAGAGCTTATTTTCACACACAAGGAAACAAACAAACACGCGATCATACGAACTCACAAAAATGGGTACATCCTTGTGTGTACATATAAATCATTTGCGTCTCTGTTTGTTTGTTTTCTTTGTTTGTTTGTTTGTTTGTTTGTTTGTTATGGTTTTTGTTTCTGTGCATTTGTGTGCTGTTTGCGTCCTCAGTATCATTAAATGTTCTAAATGATTCAGTTCTGTTGGGCATTAACTATACTAACCCATAATATGATCCACAATCTCTACAGAAACAATTTGACACTACAACAAATGAAGGACAATAGCAGCAAAAGACAAAAAACATCCAACCCACCATTCCCCTCTCCCACTGCCGTTTTTTAAGCTGAACCAGAACCATTTTAAGCCTAGCTACAAGGATGCACTGAACGTGTCAATAGATCACACAAAAAGAGCCCAGCTAGGATTGATGACAATAGCGGCAACAACCTCAATAAGAACACTATCTGTCATAACAGTAACAGCGCAACGCAATTCTTAATAACGACAATAGATACAACAACAACAACAACGATTACAGAAACACAAACTATATCAACAACAGCTACAACGATTAAAGAAACACAAACAACAACGACAGAAACA